GTGTGTGTGTGTGTGTGTGTGTGTGTGTGTGTGTGTGTGTGTGTGTGTGTGTGTTGTCACCATGAAGGGCATGAAGGCACGAACTGTATCGCAGTGACAAGTAGTGACACACTCGTCGCGGTGACTAAGTAGCAGCGACGTGATTTTTTACACATCCTCGAGTTGCAGTTAAAGTAAATAAGTTAATAATGAAATAAAGTAAAAATACTATCCAAACATAATAAAACTCATTTACGCAAGCCATTTTAACAAAGTCATTTTAGCGATTAAAATTTAAAACCATTCACCACAAAGCAATAAAAACGTGGGACTGGCCCCACCAATATCGTGTAAATCGCTGGACAATATCGTTCGCGTAACCGCTCGCATTGCAAATCGCGTTTAGTGCGGCCGTACCTTAATAACAAATACTAAATAATCGGGACTGGAGATACGTCATTTTAACTTCATTATTGGTATATATTTTTTTTTATTAGGTTTGAAGTAGGTAGGGATATTAATATTGATTATATAAACCGTTTGTATAATCATTAATCACAAATGGTACTAGGTATATAGCATGTAACGAACCCGCGATTCTCAGAATTTGTATAAGATATATTTTACAATAAGTAGACATTTGAAGGCTTGTAAGTATTGTATCACAAAATATATAATTTTTAATAAGGAATGGAAACCGGCTTTGACAAATCTACATATTATATAATAGTAATATTCAACAATCACGGTCCTTCGCAGATCTCAGTTCTCACGAATTATGATTATTCGCGCCGGTCAACAACAACAACGAGACCGTGGTTAATGTATAATATCCTGAAGTATCAGAGTTGTTGAGTCTACAGCACCTTCACGCCTCACACTTTTGTACACTTTATAAAACTAACTTGTGTTAATTGAACAAACTATTTTTAATCACAATTGACTTGAACAATCATTTTGATTTCACGACTTGGAGAGACAAAAAATAAGCACACTACATGGTATATATTATTATGTCTATAGTATCTCGTGTCACGTTTAATTCCACTCTACCTATGCAATTGAATTTTCGAAATATTTTAACTAACTTAAATCTATTTATAAACATATTAGGTAGTTTTTTTTTAATAAAAATTGGTAAGAAAGTTAGTAAGGTCAAAGAATTTGAAAATGTAAGTATATAATTTTTTTTTTAAAGTTTTTTTGTTTATAGAAATTAAAAATGTTGAAATATAAATGCACAATTTATTTTTAAAAATGTTTCAAGTTCATATTTTTATATTAATTTTAATTTTAAAGTTATATACTACTAGCTTAATTACCAGGCTTCGCCTGTGGGTATTTTTATTTTTTTCATATACTTCATATTATTTAATAGTAGTATTAGTGTATGTGCAATGCATAATATTATTTTTATTAATAAATTTCTTGGAACAATTCATATCTACCGGTAGGTATGGGGTATGGGTTACAGGTAGTTGGAAAATGGAAACCTGCGGGCCGCCGTGTACCTGTGCCATGCAGCACAATACTCGTACATATTGGTGGTGAATAATTATAATTGTTAATTACTCCATTAAAACGCAACATTTTTTAAAATCATTTCTTATTGCTCAGTGAAAATATGAGAAGTATCTCTATTCAAAATTTCAGGTTCGTACGTTGTATACTTTTTGAGTTACAGCGATCAGTGAGTCAGCTAGTGGTATTTGGATTTTATATGTATAGATTTATTTTATTGTTTTTTAGAAAAATAATCAAATGTAACAAAGATGAAATACACATGAAAGTGTGAAACTTTAGAAGGAAGAAGTCATTCATTAATGATATTATCTATTTTTTTTAACTATAAAATTAGTTTTAATTAATAATTTAGTAGATCGCAATATCGTTTACGCTTTAAATATATGAGAGAATTCCCAAAAATCAGGCCGTGCACAATAGGGGAGTTCAAACTTATCCATTGTTTTTATTTACATCAAGCTTATCCCCCTAGTGCCGTCACTGATTATATGGTAATATAATATTATAATAATAAACTTGATATCTAATATAAATATGCCATATTTTTGTAAACAATAGTTTTAATAATTGTTCTCTGAATAATCAAATTCAATTGGTTTGAACAGTTTTAAAGAAGTAGCCACTTTATCGTCGAAAAAAATAATATTTACCTAATTTAAAATATTATAGATGTTAGTAGGTACCTAAAGTTAAATTCATCAAAAAAAAAAATATCCATTATCTATATGCTTGTTAGTACTTAATTTTTTTTAATTAGTTTTTATTTAGTTATTAAACATTTTTGTTATTAAGATAGGTAGGTATATGATAAGAATTTATAGTAGATAGATAGAATATAAATTTGCGTAGAAATGAAAATATGTTGTGCGAAGGACAAAGCCTCTGTTTTAATTGTTTTTTCATTTCATAATTGAATAACTTCACACCGCGCTTCCACCACTGTGGTATTTGTGTATTACCTATACGGCTATACCTACGTTTAATATATGTATTATAAGATCAGTGTTAAGAATTTTTTTAATTTTCACCAAATTAAAAAATATTGTTTAGACTTTAGTATATTTTAGTGATATTGTAATTTGTAATGCAATTTCACTTGTTACTAAACCACACGGTGAAGTACCTAGTTGAATATTTTAAATTTTTTGGTAAATTATGATAATGGGATTAACTACACAGTTTACAGACTTAAAGTGTAAACGGAATACAATTACAATAATAGCTATAATGCTATACAGGTAAACTTTTTTCGCGATTTATGCCATTTTATTGGTTTCAACATGGAACTATAACTACGTATATACATACATGAGTGGGATTTGATAATAAATTCTTATGGTAATTCTACCCAATTTTTATAGATAACACATAATCTATAAAACTTGGATTTTACCATGTGGTATTAAAGATATAATATTATCTACATGGTGAACCCGGTGATGTAAAATCTGTGATAACAAGAAGCCACTACAAGAGTGATAACAAAACTTAAAAATCTCTCAATAGTTAATATTGCATTAATATATTTTATTACTGTGGCAAATTGCGATATTCAAAACCTGGTTCGAATCCGGGCAACACAGTCTGGATAAGTAAGTATTATGTTTAATAATATCTAATTAATGTCTAATATATATTACTATTATTAATGTTTACAGGTAGCGTGATAAAATAAATAAATAATGTATTTTGGACTTAATTTTGGCAGACAAGCTATTTTAAAAAAGGCTAATGTGTGGATACGATGCATGTGCAATGTTGCAAAAAGCAATGATACCAAACAATTGGAATACATCAGAAACATTGGCATTTCAGCTCATATAGATTCTGGCAAAACTACTTTGACTGAAAGAATTTTGTATTATACAGGTAAAATAGCTAAAATGCATGAAGTTAAAGGTAAAGACAATGTAGGAGCAACTATGGATTCAATGGAATTGGAAAGGCAGAGAGGCATAACAATACAATCTGCAGCTACTTATACTATTTGGAAAAATTATAATATTAACATTATCGATACACCAGGTCATGTTGATTTTACAGTAGAAGTAGAAAGAGCACTGAGAGTTTTAGATGGTGCAGTTTTAGTACTATGTGCAGTCGGGGGCGTACAGAGTCAAACGTTAACAGTTAATAGACAAATGAAACGTTATAATGTTCCTTGTATAGCTTTTATTAACAAATTAGATAGACTTGGTGCTAATCCATACAAAGTTTTAGCTAATATGAGAAGTAAACTTGGACATAATGCTGCATTTTTACAGCTACCAATTGAACATGAAAGTAACATTAAAGGAATTGTCGACTTAATTCATATGAGATCAATTTATTTTAATGGCGAATTTGGGGACAACATAGAATATGGTGATATTCCAGAAGACATGAAAAAAGTAGCTGAAGAAAAACGCCAAGAATTAATTGAACACGTGTCTAACGTGGATGAAAAATTAGGAGAAATGTTTCTTGAAGAAAAAACTCCTACTGAACAAGAATTAATTGATGCAATTCGACGGTGCTGTATTAAAAGAACATTTACGCCTGTTCTCCTAGGAACAGCGTTGAAAAACAAGGGTGTTCAACCTCTGTTGGATGCTGTTTTATCATATCTTCCAAATCCTGGAGAAGTAGAAAATTTCGGGTTACGTACAACCGACGATAGTAATAACCCTGAAAAAGTATTATTAGATCCTAGAAGAGATGGAACTCATCCATTCATTGCTTTAGCATTTAAATTAGAAGCTGGAAGATTTGGTCAGCTGACGTATATGAGATGTTACCAAGGTAAATTATCCAAAGGCGATACCATATATAATTTTAGAACATCTAAAAAGGTACGGTTATCAAGATTGGTACGTTTACACTCAGATCAAATGGAAGAAGTTAATGAAGTATATGCTGGTGATATATTCGCACTGTTTGGTGTAGATTGTGCTAGTGGTGATACTTTTATTGTTGATAAAAAACTCAATATTTCATTGGAATCCATTTTTGTACCAGATCCAGTTGTGTCCATGGCTATTTCACCAGTCAACACAAAAGATAGAGATAATTTCAGTAAAGCTATAGCTCGATTTACTAAAGAAGATCCAACTTTTAAGTTTCAGTATGATGCAGACAACAAAGAAACTATTGTTTCTGGTATGGGTGAATTGCATTTGGAAATTTATGGTCAAAGAATGCAAAAAGAATACAATTGTCCAGTAAAATTAGGTAAACCAAAAGTTGCATTCAGAGAGACTTTAGTTTCTCCTTTTGAATTTGATTATTTCCACAAAAAGCAGCATGGTGGTCAAGGGCAATATGCCAGAGTTATAGGTATTTTAGAGCCATTACCACCAAATGAAAACACAAATTTAGATTTTATTGATGAAACGTCTGGGCCCAATGTACCTAAGCAGTTTATTCCTGGAATAATTAAAGGTTTTAAAATGATGGCTGAAAAAGGTTTATATTCTGGTCATAGAATATCAGGAGTACGTATGAGGTTATTAGATGGAGCTCATCATATAGTGGATTCCAGTGAATTTGCATTCATACTAGCTACACAAGGCGCTATCAAACAAGCATATGAAGAAGCAGCTTGGCAAGTGTTAGAACCAATCATGGAAGTTGAAGCAGTTGTACCTATAGAATTTCAAGGATCTGTAATGGGTCAATTTAATAAACGTAATGGCATTATTAGTGGAAGTGAAGGAACCTCTGATTGGGTAACAATTTATGCAGAAGTACCATTGAACTGCATGTTTGGATTTGCAGGAGAATTAAGATCATTAACTCAAGGTAAAGGAGAATTCAGCATGGAATATGTAAGATACTCGCCAACAACACCTGAAACTCAAGAAAAAATAGTTATGAATTATTTAGAAAGTACAGGCCAACTACAAGCTTTCCTTAATTCAAAAAAAAATACTAAGTCATAAGGAAAAAATATCATTAATTAGCTACATTGACTGAATTGTTGTTTTTTCTAGTAAAATATCTTATAAACATTTGTAATAAAACTGTTTCAATTTTTAATTTGTTTATAAATTATTATTTTATTTATATGCATTAGAAATTAAAATATATGTATAATTTTGTAAAAAATAATTATATAACAATACAAATACATAACTTTTACATATTTTAATTTTAAAATTATAATATATTAGAATCTTAAGTTATAAACTTTATGAAGTGCATAAGGAATTAAATTGATTATATCAAAATATATACTAATGGTACCAAAAACATAATCTTCAGGATGTAATTTCCACATCAATTTCTGGAACAACAAACATTAAATATATTAATTTAACTTCATTATTATTTTATAATAAAAAGGTTTTCACTATATATTTTTACCTGAGCATCATGCACGAGGAACATTGAAAATAATAATGAACTAATACTTGACAATACGAGTTCATATGTAGTACTGCCCAGTATTATTTGTATTAACACACCAGACGAAAATATAGTTATAATTAGCAAAACACTAAAAATATAAAACCAAATTATAAAGTAAATACATGCTAAGGGCTTTGATGTAATGTTAAATTATCATTACAATAATATTTGCTATCAACTTAAAACACTCACCAATATTCAGTCAAAGATAATCCCACTCTCTTTGTCTTACTTAAATATAATATTGTTGCTATTATTGAAACTAAGGTGAGTAATAATGTTTGTAGCAGTATAAATAAATCAAATGATGTGACTACAATTCCTACAGTACAAGCTTCTATAACAGTCTACATTTAAAGTTTTACAGTTATTAATAGAATTCTAAAATGATAGTGTATGTTTTACAATTTAACTTAATCTCTATCATACTCAATAATATTTCAATTTTAAAGGTTAGGTCTAGAAAACTTATTTTATTATTTGTATACTTACAAAAATTATTAAAATTATAAGATTAGCAGGATAATGCTTGCGTTTCATATGTAAAAATATAAGTACAGCCACATTAAAAATTAATGTAATAGATAACATATATTCACTGAAACATAAAAATTTTAAATTACTAATTGGGGATTGACAAAAAAAACATTAAGGAATTTAATTAAATTTTTATATTTTTTTTCTTACAAGTTGTAAATAAAAAATCGTATTTTTGGTGTAAATAAACAGAAAAATCCCATTAAGTTGAATGCAAACAATTGAAGTATTAGAAGTGTATACACTTTTCTTAAAAATACTAAAACAAAAATAACAATATGAATATAATTTTATTAAAATACATTTAGAATGTAGGTAGATATTGAAATACCTTGGCATACTTTTACGTGTTGCTTTTCTGTATTTTCTATACTTAATAAATGATATGAAGTATTTATCTTGTCATCATTATTGTTTGTACCTACAAAAAAAAAATAATGAAAACATTTGTTGTTTAATGTACTGAATTTGATAGGATAGTTAATTATAAAATATTTTTACTGTTATTAAGTATTGATTCAATAAATATTTGGACTATCTATCGAGGATACAATTAATTGACTTAAGTTAAAGATGGTAATTATTCTAATTAATTAATTGTGTTAGATATTTCCTTCATTATACAAAATCAAGTTAATAGTCTTATTCCATCTAAATTCATTATATATTAATAATAATAACTACCAATCAATGATTTTAAATTAATTAAATTAAATCAAGAAATTAAACAGTATACTATAGTAAATTAAAAAATAAAATGTATACCAAGAGTCACCAATTAATATTTTTGAAGGGCTACATTAGGAATCTGAAAATTTTTTGCAGGTCATCAAAATTTTAAGTACATATTTTTAACACATAATAAGTATTATTTTAAAATTGGATGTAATGAGAACATATTCTATTATTAAATATATGTTATTTATTCTTTGTCTACGGGCCGGATAAAATTTATTTGGAGGCCGTATGCGGCCTGCGGGCCTCCATTTGGTGACCACTGATGCATACTATTATATGCTATACATTTTACTAATGCTGATGTTATTTTTCTAAAAACAAACTGTAGAAATATGATCTTGTCTTATTTAATCAAAATATATACTGAAATGATTTATTTTTAATAACTATAAGGCAACATGTTATAGATAACATAACATTAAACTTTATTTTTCTATACTTCTTTCCTAGGATTTACCATAAATCTTGAAAATTAGCTTTCTAAGCAAGTTATTGCCAATAAATAATATAAAAATAATAAATATCATAGGTACATATTGTTTAGTGGTGGGCCAAAAGGTTCAATCTCAATTTTTATACAGTCGCGTCAACTTTTTAAAAAGGTGGTAATAGTGGCACTGAAGTATATGCTAAGATTCAGCCAAATTGTATTAATATTAAAACTTAGTTTTAATTAAATAATGTGTACTAAAGTATATTGTGGGATGATTTAAAAAAAAAATGTAATACTAAATTGCTTTGTTTAAAATTTAAGTTTATTTCATTAGTGATATTGTTTATGTTTTGAACTTATATAATCTGTCAACCTCATAAAATTAGTTGATTTTTACAGTGTTTTAAAAAATGTATGTATTCTAGTAATGAAAAAAGATATAGGTATTAAACATCAATATTATTTTGTTTTTTTTTTTTTTTTTTATATTAAAATTAGATATTTATAATATAACATGAAAATAATAAAGTAATACTATAAAATAATCTATATTAGTTGGTGGTAACTAACTAATACAACTGAAATGTAAAAAACAGTAGTTATCTTGAGGGAGTACTATACTTTTACTCATTGTTAAATACAATGATTTTTTAGGTATATTTAACTCAACTAAGAAACTATGTATTATGTTAACAAGTATGACAACAACAGCTGGTCATTACTCAGATAAACTATCAATTACAGTTGAAATTAGATAAATTAATAATTATGTTTAAGTATTTTAATATTTTGTTAAGAAGACACCATACCCATTAATGTTGTCTTTGTCTTTTGAACATACAACAAGGAAAATTTGTATTTAATAGATTACATTTTGTGTAATTAACTTTAATCATAGAGGGAGTTAAATTATTAACAAATTTAAAGGTAAGAATATTATCTATGTTTTATCATGGGATTTTTTAAAGTTATGAGTATGCAGAATATTACAAGTTAAAAATTAAAATAAAAAAAACCTATGTAAAAACTGTTTGATAATTGTTCAATTTACACTATTATTAAAGGTTAATATACAAAATTGGAATTGTTGAAAATAAATGTTCTATGTTGTAAGTTTATAAGACAGAGACATATCATCTTAATTATAAGGTGTAAATTAGTTATCAATTATAATTACCGAAATAATTTACATCATCCATCATCATAGTTGATTAATAATTTATTGACTATATGCACACAAGCAATGTATTGAAAAAAATTGAATACTGACTAGGAAATTCATTTGTCAAACATTGATCTTGAAAATGAAATAAAAAAAAAGAAAAAAGTTATAATTTAGTATACGTATTAAAATGTCAGATTAGATATTTACAACTACTTTATCTTTAGCAATAGGTAATAAGATAATATCATAAAAAATTGGTTGTTAACAAAATTGAAAAAAATAAGTTTTGTTCATGACTATCTTGTAGATTTTTACTTAAATATGTTAATATCTAAAAATTAAATTTAACTTAGAATATATTGCAAAACCTATGAAATTTATAAAGTAATTGTTTTCAAAGTGTTATAATATTAAATAACAATATAAAAATTAAAACATCTCAGTGTTCATGATTATAAGCCAGCTATTACCTATCAATGTATTTCAAATGAGGATCGCGATGTCCAAAATAGATGTTCAAAGATAGTTATTGATGCATATGATGTTGTATTATGTAATTTTAGCAAAAATTATGGTAAATTTTTAATATTATAAGAAATTAATATAATAATTCAAAAATTATGGAATAGATTAATATTTAAAAAATGTATGAGTACATAGCTTTTGTAATGGCCAAATTTATAGAAACTATTTATGAATATTTGATAGTATTAATTACCACTTACCAGACAAAGCTAATGTATACTATATTAGTTCAAGTTAAACAGTAAAAAAAACTTGTATAACACTATAACTAGAAAACCATGGATAGTTTATGCTAAACAAATAAAACTGAAACGTTTAGATCATGTATGATGAATGAGATGAACGATGAATAATGATTTATAATATTAACTAATAACTAATAAGTGTTAAATAGATAATCACAAAACTAAGTAGTAAGTACTATAAAAAGTACTAAGCAGTAAAGTACCTGTGTTATTATTTAATATTTAATAATATTTTATTTATGTAGAAAACACAGCTATAGTAGATAACATAAAATAGATTAAACGATAATACTATCTTTGATAAAATTGTTCTCCTAAATCCATAGACCTATTAACTAATGGACTGCGCTTACCACACCCATAGACCATAGACTTATTAACTAATGGACTGTGCCTACCACACCTCCCTGTCAATCACTTCTGTGGACGGAATGGATTGAGAGAGAAAGAAAATAGTTTGGGCCATTTCATGAAGGACCATTATGTTTTTTTATCATATGATTAAACAAAACGCTCATTAAGCTAGCTTGGAGATGTATGATCAAATTTTAACGTAGTATTTCAGGCGGTTGTGTATACAATTTTAATAACATAATCACAACATATATTGGAAAGAAATAACTTTTAGTTTAATCACAGTTTAATTAAATAGCACATTGTAACGGCCCAAACGCTCTTTTTTCTCTCTCAATCTATTTCGTCCCCACGTTTCTCTCTCTAAGCGCAGTCTATAAGGTTATAAGTCTATGCCTAAATCACTGAGATAGATAACAATAATATACTATGTTGTTATCAAAGTCAACGGATAATGTATTAATGTAATTTCAAGATTATTCTTAAACCTTAAACTATGATGTAGTATTTTATTTTATTTTTTTGTATTGTTATTACAATTATTTAAGTATTATAATGAAATAATATGGCGATTAATATGACGTATATAAATGCCGAAAATTACTTCAGATTTTTTACCTTTATGAGTTAAAACGTAAAAGACACAACACTTTACTAAAATACGTACAACATCGCAATGAAACAATTGTTTTATACTGTGTATTATAAAACATTTAATTGGGTTATCAACGTAAATCGAGTCGTGTAGTTAAGCTTTTTCGTGCTCTACATATCGGTACACGTGTTAAAGTGAATCTTTTATTGATAAATATGTCTAGCGCGCCGAATTTTCACGTTAGAAATACGATCATTTAAGCGAATCCGTACTACACAGGTACAAGAAATTCGACATATTTTACAAACGACGGTTTGTGAAACATCAAACAACGACGCGTCTCCTCTCCCATAATTTAGTAGTCACGTTGCGGGGTATCATTTAGTAGATAATTATGGGAGTGATTACGGCTTATCGTGAAGGCGGCGATATGGTGCACATCGCCATCTCTGGAGCGCTGTATATGTTTCACGTCTTATATACTGTTGCGCCATCTTAAAAACTGTCTATTGCTTGACTGCTGGCGTGATCCACTTGTTGTCGCCAATTGATCTGCTAGGAGCGCTACGCGTGACGTATCTCGGTATCCACAATAATATCTGTAGCTGTGTCGTGTTGATACTCGTAAATCGTAGGTACTAATGCTAAAACTGAGTACTGAGTAGGTATAATATAAAATATCGTAAAATGTATTAAGAATTAAGTTTTTTTTAGTTTTTAAATTCATTGATTTTGTTTGATTCTTATTGACCGGTATTAATATAATAACATAATAATATAAATAAATAATTATATTCATAATGTTATAACTTATAAATAATAATATTATTACAATACTTGTAGGTATATCATGTAGATCAGCGGTTCTTAATCTGTGGTCCGCGGCAGTCTCAACACATATTATAACGTCAATACATTATACATGACATACGTTGATACGTAATACGAGTGCATTATTACAATAATGTTGGATTCTTATTTATTTATTTTTTTTTTTTTTTGTATGTAATATAGGTATCTTATTATTTAAGGGATAGACCTATCTTATCTTATTAATATTACTTTTTTATGAAAAATTAGCAGTAATGAAAATAATTATAAATGCGTATGTTTTGTTATGTCTACTTATGTGATTTTTAATATAAAATAATTAATAAAATTTTGGTTATAATAATATGAGATGTTTTGTAAAAAAAAAGGTAGATATTATTCGAAAAAAAATGGTAAGGGGGTCTGTGATTTCTAAAAATCTTTGATCAGGGATCCGTGATCTACAAAAGGTTAAGAACTGCAGCTGATATAGATAGTAAATTATAATATCAATACAATCAAGCATCAATTGAATTAAAACATAAATATATTTATATTTTGTGTATAATATATTATGTAAGTTGATAGGTTTCAAAGTTATTTTTTTTTTCTGATTATTTAGTTGACGATTTTATAACTAAATATTGTCATATTTATTTTTATTTGTACAATCTGTATAAAAAATATTTACAATAAGTACAATGGAGATAATGATAGTATATATTGGTAATTGGACATGGTTGACTTGTTGAAGAGACTATTCATTAATAGCACTTCATGGCTATAAAATAAAAATTTTTTCGCGAAAAAAAAAAATTATTCGTAAACAATTTTCACCAACATTATAAGTGAATAAATCAGAAAATAAAATCCAACATATTACACTTTAAATTCACATACATTTTAACTAAAATAAAATAGAATTTTTCTTAAAACCAAAATAATTCTTTAAAATTTAAAAACTTCACAAAAACATTGTAATAGTATACCAGCTAGAACATATTGGAATTAAATATTTTAATTGAAACAATATCACCATTTGACATTTACATAATAGGAAATTATTAATTATTTTCAAAAACCAAAATATTTATATTTTTATTTTAAGTTAAAAGAAAATTGATTTCAGCATAATATTTATTTAGAAATAATTTGTAAAAATACATAATAATATATAATAAATACCTATACACAAAATACAATTTTTATGTTAAAGTGAATATCGATGTCTTTTTATGTACATATTTTTTAAAATTTTTTCTTAATTTGGTTAAAATTCTAACTTAAAATACTTTAAAAAAAATATTATAACTAGATTTTCAAAATCTTTTTGTTAATCTGTAAAAAGGCTTATGAGGAGCTTTCTATTAAATTTTCAAGTATTTTTACCCAACAAATAATTTTTAATCGACAGTCAAAAATTGAAAATTTCTCTTGCATATAAATTGTTTAAAAAGAGTCAAACTACTTTTAAAATTTTATCACTTATATCATTAATAAAATATGATAGTGGCTTCAGGCTTGGCGTGATGCGTTGGCTGCTTATCAGTTGTGGAATGCGACTGGGAGTAAGTAACGGCCACATCTACTAGCTTCCGGATGGGACCACTTGGGTTTATAGTGGTTAAAAACCTTGCTACACATACACGAGTTTGTTATCTACCGTACCAACTTTACTCCTACCATAGTTCATAACCCTACAACAGCTAATGGCCTTAGTCGCCGGGCTTAAGTTCAATAAAAAAAATAAAAAAATATGATAATATAAGCGTTTGGTGAAAATTTCAAGTATCTGGGGTTATTTATTTTTAGTTATATTAAAAATAAAATTAATTCTGTCAAAAATTGAATTCGCGTTAAATTTTTTGTTTTTCCTGATTATAAAACAAAGTCCTAGGAACTGTTAAATTTGAATTCCTTAAATTATAAACTATAGATACAGTTTTCTATCAAAAAGTACTCTAAAAATTTAAAATCAAAGCATTTTATCAACAACGAATTATATATGTACTATTTATTGTAAACACAGACATAAAAATAACATACATTATTGTAAGGTAAATATATTCATCATTGCACACATAATTTAAAAAAATCAAATTTGTATATTTTATCAGACATTAGTTTAAATTACGTACAAATTCAATTAAAATTGTAATCAATATTATATTTATCTAAATATATATTTCTTATTACATAAATACTGTTTAAATTTTCTGTCGAAGAATTTTAGGTCCTAGATAGTTTGTTTTTGTTTGTGGCTAAATGAAAATTTGATTGACATCTTATAAATTTTTATGTATATATAGGTACTAATAAAATGTATACTAAGGTATAGTTTTTCTGTGGTACTACTAAATTAAAAAAAAAAAAGATACTTAAACGAACTATACATAAATTGTACATAACACATTTTTATATAATATTAAAAAAAAAGACATATTATGTGATGTTGACAATTTATTGAATGCTGTTTCATAATATGTAATAAAATATAGACAATAATAGAGTAATACTGTAAGATTGATAATGATTAATGACTTATATTCAATTAGAGGTATATGAAACAACTACAATACTTAGCTAACTTTATAGTATGCATAAACTGTGAATCAAAGATAAAATATAAAACATATTATATTTGTTTCTAAAATTATTGGAAAAACAGGTTTGGAAGCTGAAATAAAATTATTCCTATTTATAAGTTAAAAATTTTAAAATAATTAACTTTCTTTAAAATAATAATTTTCATTGAATTGTTTATACAAGTAAATAGCACCACTGAAATTATTTAAATTAATTTTTTTTTCACAATATAACTAGTAATACAGTACAGAATATTATTGAAATTTGCTTGACTGCTGTTTTGAATTGAAAAATTAGGATAATTATTTAAACCAAAACGTTGTTGACTGCGTCCAAAAAGTAATATGAAGTAGTATTAAGAAAATGTATATGTGAAAAAATAATTTAAATTTAAATGTTGTAAAAATAATTGTTTGGATAACGAAACAACTGACTGAACTGCGATAGAAAAATTTGTAAACAATTTTATACTAAAAAAAATATAAGAATAATTAAAACAATAATCACCACAAGGGAAGTTATTAAGCGTACTATTGTTAGGTCTACATTAGTAGAACCACAAATATCCAACATACTCGAAATACAATGTAAATAATAAAACATATGCACAACTGATGCAACCAATATAATCTGAAAAAAAATAATAAGATACATGTAATAACAATATAATCGAATATTCGGAGACAAAAAAATTATATACTTTCGATGCCTTGATAATGCTTCTGTTATGTTATTTAAGTCTTCGTGTAGAAGATGCTTCCTAATCCCGTAAACTAAATTTTGTAGATAGAGCTTCCAATCAAATTCTTCGAAACTGAACCAAAATGTCTTGTGATCCTCTTGACTTAGTAATGTCCATAATTCTCGGGTATTACTATTATCAAATTTCCATTCTCTCGTTGTAAACACTTCAACCGTATCCGTCATTTTTTCACTTTTTGCATATAATTTCAACATTCTAATAGTATAAATAAAATAAATAAATTCATAAATATAAATCTATAAAAGTATTAAGATTTTTGGTAATTGATGATAGTAAATGATCTGAATCAATTAGTACTGTAATATGTCGGATCTATACAAAATTTTCAGAACTAGAATTTAAAAATAGTGATCAACTAAAAATAACTATATTATTGTAAAAATTGAATAAAAAAAAAACACACATCATTATTATCGGAAATACTAATCTTTAACAATAATATTTTTAGACACATTTCTTACTTTGGATTTTTGCCACAAATAGATAATGACAAATCTACAAATGCAGCAGGTATTCGGTGTAAAAATAATCTCGTAATATTAATGATCCAACGATTTGGAGAAAATATACAACATATGTACCACATTGATTGTAACGGAGGCACTTGATAATAAGTTTCATAAACATAAACTATGAACGTTCGCCAATGTAATGTGCTGTCAAAACTAGACACGTAATTATAAATTTTTGGTTTCATGTTTTTTTCTTTACCATTTTGGTATCTATAAAAATAGAATAATATAAAATATGTCAATTACGCTGTAAACTTATGTGTAAAATATAATTTGCAATTATTGTACCTATTTACTGTATCCCACATTACACTAATTAATGCATTGACAGCGTAATCAACTGGGACGATATCTACTTTTTTATTCACGGACATTGGTATTAATCTTAAAAATCCAACTATGAGTGAAGTAATTATAGCAGCTAATCCTTGCATATTATCCAACCACCCTGGTTCAGGTTCATATCGTGTGCAACCTACTATACCATAGTTTAATATCTTTGATTACACATTTCAAACAAAATAAGTAAATTATTAACAATTAAAATGAATTATTGGTTAGTTAAATACATAATTAACAATTAAAATAAAACATACATTTTCTATAGTTCTAGTATTTTCAAACTGTATTCATACAATTCTTACCAATTGAAGGACGAAATATAGAAATTGGTAATTGGTTTTCGTTGTGTGATATCATATTTTCGGTAAGTGCCTTAGTGAAAGTGTATGTATTAGGCCAATCTACCAAAATGCTATTTATTACAGAATATGTAAATTAAAAACTAAGAAATTAAAAATAGTAACAAACTAAATATACAATGATTTACTTATCGATTTTTCCATTTCCTTTAATTAATTGTTTTAATTCTTTAGTTGTTATTGGAGCGTGATAGAATTCTTCTTTAATTTCACTTCTAGGACAGTGTGAATAAGCTGTTGATACATAAACAAAACCCTGCCATAACAAATTAAAATTGTATTCCAATATATTATTATTAATAATAACAATGTAGACCAATGGATACAGTTTTACTGTATTTGTTAGAGTAATTGGTGTGTTAAATTTTAATTTAGTATTAAGATATAATTGTGCACAACAAACTTTTCCAAGTGAAAATGAACAGTCAGTCGTATACTGTATAAGTAAATATTTTATGATATAACCTTTACAATTGTCATGTTATCTTGATTTTCTATTTAAAAAAAAATTATGATAGTTTATTTGTAAACTTCTATCTTATATCTCTATTTGAAATAATGTTTGTGGCGTTCAAAATTAAATCCATCGAGATGTTTTAATTTTTCTTTCTTTTCAATTAAAATCATTGACATAAGTTTACTTTTCATTTAAAGTTATAAAATATTAAATAAATAAATAAATGTAATAAATTAACAATAATTAATTTAATTTGATATTAATAGTAAATATGACACAAACCGAAAACCCGATCACACTTAAATAATATCGTTTATGTTTGAAAAATGAATTATCTATAATAATCAGATAATAGTTACATCACACTATTATATACGAGGTCAGCTTATATTATTTTATAATGTTTTGCCTTTAATTCATATTTACTTAAAGCTTCCGGTGTACACTGCTAAATGCATATAATAATTAAATGTATAAAACTTTATTACGGTTTTGTTCAACAATGTCATAATGACTGTATCAAGCTAAAAATTACGGATTAATAACTAAATATTGTTATACAATAGTTTAATAGATACACATCATGCATGACACTACATGAGTTTTCATACTAATAGATTTGGAAACCATTAGAAACCACTACAAAATGTTAATTGAAAAAGTAAAAATAATTGCATTCGAAGAGCAATTTGTTCGAAAGGGTTAGTTTACCTGATTCAGGACGCAATTCATGCACACAGTTTTTCCATGCGTTTTTTTAATAATTACACTATTATCAATTACAATATTTATTAGTTTGAATTGAATATTTCCTAAATTAACTAGAATATTTTACTATATTAGTCTATTTATGAATGCACATCGATTTCATTAAATAAATATGATTAACACATAGTTAATATTGAAATATTTAATAATAATTATAGTTTATAATCTATTTATATTTTCTATTACCTTAAGGTTATTCATGTTCGTTGCTAGTGCTAATACATTTTCTGTTCCTTGAATGTTTATTGTTGTTGCCACCTGAAGAGTTTCATTAAATTTGATTGTAGCAGCACAATGGAAAACAAAATTCACATTTTTTATCAACCAATCACGATCGTTTGTTGATATTCCTAATGAGCGTTCTTCTATATTTCCATCAATTATTTTGATCTTCGTCACAAAGTCGGGTTTTTCAGTTCTAAGGCGGTCAAATATCTTAAAAGATATAAAATAATTAATGATAAAATACTATCTTGTTATAATAGACATTTTAAAAATAATATTGTTAAAAAATATGGTGATCAAAATTAAATTATATTATATTGTCAAATTATATAAATTTTTATAAAATTACATTTAAGGATTATTAGAGAACGAGAAATAAATACAATTATAGCGTATTTAATTGGAAATAATTTTGAACGAAATAAATTGGGCTTATTTTTAGTAGTCGGAACGTACACACCTATAATAATATAGTAGTTAATAATTTTAATTATTGATTATTATTATCAGTCAGAAAAAGATAACGTTTATTGATTTTATTATTCCAAAAAAATATTATTAAGCTATTAAGGACAATAAAATACTCACAGGGTTTTTAAAAATATTCGTAGCTCTTTGACTGGCGGATAATCCATTTTTACCTCTAATGAGAATCGCAATGTTCTTCACGTCACATGACCTTAGCAATTTTTCTGTGAGTGTTTTCCCTAAAAACCCTGTACAACCGGTAATGAGGATTGTCCCGTTTTTAAAAGTTTCAGCTATACTCATTTCAATTTTTTTTCTAGTTTAATTAAACACAACAACAATTAAATTATTACACTACAATTATGTCTCAGAATGTACATTATGTGGATCGAAGATTTCTGAACCTTTTACTACGTGTAATAATTTTTCTTCTATATATATCCGTTAAAAATGGCGATTGCATCGTTGATTTTATCGAGTCTTCACCAAAAATCGTGACGTATCTTCACGTTTAATCGAAGGACAACATATTTCTTAAACGTATGTTGCACATTTTATAAATATATAAATTAATTGGTATTCATTTTTATAGTAATTAATTTTATTATTAGTAATAAGATTATTAATTATAAATAATCATATGTAAAATAGCATACATAAAAAAATATGCAGTTCACTCAAAAAAAAAAAAAAAAAACGAGACAGCTATAAAATTCGTTCAATTTTCTAATATAATTTAATTAAACATTTATAATTGAAATAGCAATATGTATTTTAGTTGAAATAAAAAATCACTAATTTAAATATTTTGCTAACTTCAATGTGTACCTAAATAAAAAATAGTAATACAGTGAAACGTGGTCAATTTCAATGTTATTAACTTTAAATTGTTAATATCTCAACTTTTTCCCTGGTCCCTAAACATTTTTATTAAAAAAATATAAAAAAATCTTGTTTAACTTGAATATTTTCGTGAATAACTAGATGTTTTAATTTTATTTTTTAAATTAGAAAATGACGATATTTCCTTATATGTATACACATTTGCTTTATATACTAAACGTCTATTCCCATGATTGCATAAGTACAAATACAATATAATTTATAATAAATTGAGGTTAGTAACTAAAAACAAGCCAAAGGTCAGTGATAAACTTTTTGAAGCTTTAAATAAATTTGTAAGATTCACTGCAAAATATGTTGCGACCAACAACAAAACTTTCCAAACAAAAATAAATACTTCTTTTAAACATTTTTTAAATTATACTCCATACATACATTTATGATACATTTTAATAAATACAAAGTAAATATTGCACTGTTTTACATAAAATATGTATTTTGAAATTTTATTTTTGGATTTTTGATTATTTGAATACTTGAACGACTTGAATTTTTTTGACAGTCCCTTCAATTTCGCGTGAACCAAGTTTGACTCTATATGTAAAATTTTCGATTTTTTATGAAAAATAATTTTGAGTTGCAAAAAAATCATTAAAATTGTTATAGTTTGTTTTAATATTGAATTATGTTAAAATTTAAACTTCAAATGTTTATAAAAATATTCAAATTTATACTTTTTCTAGAGATTTTGTTTAAAAATGAATTGTTTATAAAGAACCTTGTTTTCAATTTTAATGTTAAAACTTATATTTATCAATTATCCGTGTTCATTGATTATAATGTTTATTGGAATTTGGTAGATTGTAAAATTCGTTTTTACGTAGTGGAGTTTTTATTGAAAAAGTTATTTTATAGTTATAAGGACGAAGGTCAATACGTAATATTTTGAATATTTCTCTTTTATTATCTTTGTTAAATTTAATAAATGTTTATGTATGATATTTTCTATTCATTTAATTTATGACAAAAATTGATTTGGTGTAATTATAAAGATATTTATTATCTATATTATATAATATTCAATGTCGTATACATACATCATTAGTTATTATTTTTATTTTTTAGAAACAAACAACTCTGACTGATGTACTTTAGGAGCAGACTATTCTTATCTAGGTAATTCATCATTTATTTTTATACTAGATTGGTAATTGACTAATAATATAGAATATAATTATGCTTAATGTATAATTAATTAATTGTTATATAGTTTCACTATCTATAGATTCCACTATTTAGAGTATGTTAAATAATATGAAATTGATGTAATTTAGACGTCTGCTTTTGATGTTAATATATCTTCAGACATATAATTTGAAGTTCCAAATATAGTGATGTATGTATTATATTATACATATAATATATAGTCAAACACGTTTAAATGATTTAAATTTTAATAAACCTACTTGAAAATTTACATAATTAACTGATTTTTTTAAAGTAAATTTAGTTAATAATTATTTGTAAAAAAACATATTATATCCATATAATATTCATAAAACATATTTATAAAAAAGGTTGGTTCACAAAAAAACTACTACTATTAAAAAAAGTCGAATATTAAATATTAGATCATTTACGATACCATTATCGAATTTAAATTAATATACATATAATAATTATTAATTAATATAGGAATTAATTAATTATTATGAACATAAAAATATAGATAAAGAACCATTACGTACGTTTAGTATACAATGTGAAAAACAATTCAATATTAGTAATACATTATCTTAAGAAACTTATATAAATGTCTAGGATTTAAAAAAATTGAATGTGTTAAGTTACGAGCCTACTTCTTGTAAGAATATTTTAGGTCCATGTCGCTGGCACCCCCCATTTTGAATTTTGGATTCAAACCCAGGGCGATCGTTTGTGCTTCGTTAGTGAACGTTAGTGCTTTAAATTCCGTCGTTAGTGCTTTATCCCTTCCAGAGTTATTCACATTTCATACAGGGGGTGCCGGAAACATGCCAGCACCCCTCCACCCATTTCGAATTTCGACTACAAACAAACTTTAATCGTTTGTGCTTTAAGCCCCGTCGTTAGTGCTTTTTCCTTTTCAAAGTTAATCGCATTTCCTACAGGGGGTGCTGAGTATGTATTAATTTGAGTCCAGCCCTCAAATTTTTGTCTAAAAATCTTCAATATAATGAGGCAAAGATGATCCTTAGGTACATTCCAGTTAAATCTCGTTGTTTTGGGGTTTAATAACTTTTGTCTAAGTTTAAAATTTTTACAATTATTACGTAAATAAAGAAAATGTATTTTTTTATAAATATATCTAAAAAAATAAAATAAAATTTTTATGAAATTTGAAATACTTATTTTATAGAAATCTGTGTTTTAGATTTCTATAAACGTATCGTATAAATATAACTTTTCATGTATTAGAAATAATGTAAATAATAGTTTTATTAATAAATTATTATTTATTATCTATCTATAGTATTAAATAATATGTTTTAAATTATTTGGAGTAATATTGGGAAAACATAATTATTATTATATCTATGTTATATATTAAAATGATTTGTTTAAATTAAGCATAGTATTTCAATGCATGTAAAATATGTACGCAATTTCATTGAATATATAAAAATCTCGACACTTCTATACCAATTAATCAGTCAGCAGTAAAACTATTAGTATTAGTTATAGTTTTAAGTCTATCTTCAGAATTATTTGTAGAAGAAGACGTTTAAATCCATTTAATCGCTGGAAAAGAATGTGAACTTCTGATGAGTTAGTAATAATAGTGGTTAATAGAGTCTGGTTCAATTAATATTGATGGTACTCCTATGCGTACTGTAGTAGTTGACCGGTCAATGGTTAAAATAAGCTAAATACTGATTATGATACTATATTTAGAACCTACAAATAAACTTTAATTTTAATCACATATTTATTCTAAGATATAACTTTTATAAGCAACTTTTATTGAGTATACTCGTAAATCCAAAAATTATTATTTATTGAAATTCGTAATTGGGATTGTGATGTATAGTTTGTCAAAGACAAAATACAAATATACCTATACCTGAAAATACTTATTTTTAGCTGGTCAAAAGGAGCTACAGGTATGGATGTAGATTCAGTTGAAGTGTTTTAAGCAAAGTGGAATTATGAATTGAAATAAAATAAACTATTTGTATACTTCTACAAAATAGGTAACATAGTATACAATATTATATATCACGAAACAATATACCTATAAATATTATGTAGATACTTGCTAAAAGTAATATTTTTACTTTCACTAAATACGTATGATATGTAGTCTACTATTCGTACTACTTAGATAATTATAAACCGCAATACCTATAAATTCACAAAATTACATTAATAGATGGTTATTCCTTCATGTCTATAAGCCACTTTATGTAATTGTACTCATTTATTCTTATTGTAACTGTATAGTTATTTACATGAAAAATAAAATTTGGTTTACTATTTAGGTTTGATTTTTAAATTAATTATTTATTTTATATTGGTATCATACAAAATAATTTAATATTATTACTATTATTAGTGTTATTAATATAAGAATAAATATTATCATGAGCTGTTTATTTAATTGCGGACATTTTTATCAAGTTATGAATTACAGATCTATTACTTAAATAACGTTTGTTCAATATTCATCATACAATTATACATCATTCAATTATTAACAATAAATAATGAGGGTAACTAATTAACTAGGTAATAATATTTATATTTAAGTAAAATATGTAGATATAATTTAAAAACAAATAACACAATAGGTATAGTATGTATTAATGACAGTGTATTGTATATATTTATTTTTATTTGTTTATAATATATTCAATTTTTATTAGTTTGTTTACTTAAAAGTTTTAGGATATATAATTTTATAAGAGATAGATATAGTTAGCGTTAAGAAACGTTTACGCATTGTTGTGTATAGATTTAATTTACATTCAAATTAAAGAGTAATTATTTCTTGGAAACTAATTTACTGATTCAATTTAGCAATTAAACAGAAAATTATAAAGTGTTAGTATAAGTTATTTAGAAAGTATTACGGTATGTTATCACAGGCTGTAATAATTTACAACTCAAGACAAATATACCATATGAAACTGATTAATGGTTTTAAAATCAGATTTGTTAAAGAACTAAATATGTTTGGACATTACTAACTTAGATATTATTCTTCTGACAAAAAATAATATTGATTATAATTGATAGGTATATTCGTATAATTAAAAATTTTTGATTAAATTTATAATATATTATATTTTTATTTATATATGTGAGATAATTTTGTCAATGAACTAAAATGATTGAAAAATGGGATAATTTTCTGTAATATTTTCATACCTAATTTTATTTAAACTGTTTTTATTCTTTAGCAATACGTAACCGAACGAAGTACAATGA